GGGAGGGGGAGGAAAGAGGAGAGGAGGGTGGAGGCGGCCGGAGGCGGTGGCTGCGGGTGAGAGAGGGAGGAGATGTGAAATGGATTAGGGTTTGGATATGATGTTATATTTAAAATAAAGTGCGTGGGGGTAGGTAGTGGGGTGGGTATATATGTTATTTTAATTTTATAAAATCATTATTAATTAAAATTATAAAAACCTGATAATTGAATAAAAAACTTAAAAACCTGAATTTTTAAAATGTAAAAGAAAAGACATGGTTTGGTGTAATTTCCTCTTTAATTTAATTAAAATTTAAAATTTAATTCTTACCAAACACGGGCTTATGTTTTAAGCCAATAATTTATTTTAGCATATATTTGGGCTTCATTTTTTCAAAAATTATTTTCAACTACACATTTTTCTATAGAATCATTTTGCACGCAAATTTAAAAATTTATCTTATTTTTAATAATATATTCTCCAATAAAAAAATTTAAAATGCATTTTTCCTAGAAGTGATGGGGCTCAAAGCATACTTGGCCAGCGGTTTGGCTCAACTAGACAATTGAATTGTATGGAACGAGCCAACCTCCTCATGCCAACCCCCACCAAGAAGAAGGAAAAGTATGTTTGAGCCGCGTTATTTTGAAAGAATGTATTTTTAAATAGTAGATTGATGAAAAATGTGTGGTTGAAAAAAAAAAGTTACTGATATAATAAAAAATATTATTTTATTGAAAAATGTGTAGTAATATTATTTTATTAAAAGATGTGTACTTTAAAAACGAGTAGAAAAATGGGAAAGAAAACTTTCATGCTACGCACCGAGGGTGTAAAGAACGGAGTGAAGAATTTCCCTTTCCTGTCATCTATCTTTCGAATCATTGAGAAAGGAAAATAAGAAGATGGCATCTTTTGGGTCTCTCAAGCAAGCAATCTTCGACAAAGAAGCCAGAAAACAGTCTCTCTCTCTCTCTACACCTGCATAATTTATTTGTTCTTGAATTGGGCTGACCGATTTCCATTTGCTTTACGCACAGGCAGTATCAATCTCATATACGAGGCCTCAACGCATACGATCGCCACAAGAAATTCTTGAATGATTATGGTCACTTTCACTTTCTTGCTTCAGATTTGTATTTAAATTGTTGGGGTGTTATTGTGCAGTAGTTTTCGTGTCTAGTTCTATTGAATTCGTTGCTGATTTAACCATTTTCAATTCTATTAAACTCTCCTCCATTCATTGAGTTTAATGTTGGCATATTTGCAGTACATATTGAATTTTTTTTCCTTGATTTATGCAATTGATGCCGGTGTCCCTTGTCTTCATCCAGTGGGTTTGCTGTAAAAGAAATAACGAGTCAAATATTTCTTTTTTCCTGTAAACTTGGGTTCGTTCGACTACTTATACACAAAAACTTAGGGTCAACTACTCAAATCCATGAATTCTCACCCCCATCCCCACCCCCTATTTGTCTTAAGAATAAACTGGAAAAGATGCAAAAACTTCAAGACATTTATTAAAATACACCTGTGGTTTGATGATCTCCATGAGATACGAGATTGTAAACTAATGGATTACAATAATTGGATTGAATTTTGCTATTTTTCTTCTGCAGCAGTTAGCAGAAAACGCAGCAGGATTAACGTGTTGACTCTATTTTCCTACTTGGTTCAATGTATATTAAAATGCGTTTACTTGCAGTTGGCTTTTATGGAAAAGAGAAATCCGCACAAGATAAGTTGCCTGTTAAAACAGATCAAGACACCCTCAGAGAGGGATATCGGTATGCTTGCCTTTTGACTCTTTCTGTCTTTAAAATTTTCTATATATTTTATCATCTACTTTATGGATATTCATAACTTGAAATTTGCTGCAATCCACTGTTTCTATTGAAGTGCTATTAATTCATCATTAAATTTCATAAGATTAAGCATGACATTGTGCAGCTGCTGAAGTGCTTTTGTTTGTAACGTGTATGGAGAACAATTTAATGACAAGGATCTTCATTTAATTATTTTTTGGGAGGGGGTGTTGGGATGGGGAAGTGCTGGATAATCTTTTTCAACAAAAATAGCCCTAAGGAATTTTAGAAATGAGCAAGACATTAAGGATATGGATGTACGGATAATGAAAAACATTTCTCCCAAGGCGAGAAGGCTATCATCTTTTGGAGTTCTAAGGCTTGCGCTTCAGTAATTTAGTTAATTGGAGGCAATAGAAGTGATTTGATGGGCACACATTTATGTTATGGGACCAGTTTTTATGAGAGGTTCAGGGAGTAACTGCCAATTGTCTCCATTTGTGGAATGGGACCCAGTGGTGAGAAGGAAGCAATGCTATCAGGTTCTGGAGAAATAGAACTGAAGACAATGAAATCATTTGGAGAAGTTTTAGGCTGTGCTCGGATGAAGATGAAGAAAGGGTAGAATGTGATGCCAAGATGGGGAGATATTGATAAGGCAAATCGTTACATTAGAAAAGAACTTATACGTGCCTTGGTATTACTTATAGATGGTTTATCTTCAGTTTCGTTGTTAGTTATTCACCTGGGAAGTTTTTGGTAGCTAAGTTGCATCTAACACCTCTGTAGAATTTCTATTGTAAAAGTCACCTCTCCTAAAATGTGTACATGTGCTTAATCCCCCTTTGGTGGAAATGAGCTAATTGTTTCAGAAAAAGAACTATTGCCATTTCCATAGTTTAGTAACATATGGAGGACATGATGTCTAATAACTATGACACTATTAATACCAGTTCAGCTATGATGTGCAATGTAAAATCTCTTGTTTCTGTAAAATATGCGATGCACATCTATAGGAACACGTCTCCAGTAGCCTAAAATTAAAAAGAAAAGTGAAAAAACATCGTGGGTAGCAAAGGTTGGCGAAGCTGTCATTTTGTAAGGATACATTTATAAATGGATGGTTGGATTCAAGCTTAGTCGACTATGCTGACAGTTCATCTGGAGTACAGATGAATTGTCTCATATGTGTGACCTTTTCTTGTTTAATCTTGTTAAATTTGTTTTGAATACATTTTAATCAAATTTTTGCTCTCTGAGGAATACACAGGATGAGGAAGCAACTTAAGTGACTTGTCTCTTGTTCACGTAACTGTTTGCCTTTCTGTGCTGATATTTCTGATTTCTAGTGCAGTTTGTTTATTTCAATACTTGTTACATTTTTTTTTCGTCATCTGTGTATAGTTGCTTTCTTTTAACCATATGATATGTCTTAAGAGCTATACATATGCTACAAGTTCCATCTTTTTTATGGTTGATTTTGTAATTAATTTTAGTTTTGCTTCTGTTCATCTGCTAAAAATTGATATTTTTCTTTTTATATATATAAACCTCGGTTTGATCATTTGGTAAAGATTTATAAGGACTGAAGAAGATGATATGAATCCTTCTTGGGAGCAAAGGCTGGTGAAGCGCTACTATGAGAAGCTCTTCAAAGAGTATCCTTTGCAACATGATCCACTCTGGCATTTTTTGAATTTATTTTTATTTCTTAAATTTTGCATTAATGTTTAAATTTCTTTAGTTTGAAGTCACTATGTTAGATTATGCTGTTCTGGAAACATGTCCTTGTGGGGTGGGTGGTTATGCATTGGGAATAACTCTACTCATTTATTTGGCATGTTGGGATCTACTAACATGTCTTTGTCACGACACTTTTTAAATTTATGTGTCAGTTGACAAATGTTATCGCAATTTTTACATGGACAAAGGCAAACACTGAGCTCATGGAGTAGCTACTAGCTGGTGAGAATGGACATATTCATAGAGACACAATGTCAATTGTTTTGTCTAAATTGTTCCTATTAAGAATAAAAGGACATCCTTCAAATGAAAAGTGTGCAACAGTCACCAAGTAAAAAAGATTTTGTTGGGTATCCTTAGACACCTTTCAGTGCCATTGTTACAGAAATTATGAAGGAAAAAGGATATGTACTTACATCCATTTGCATTGTTCAGTTACTTTTTTAACATGCTGTCAGCACATTAATGTCTATGCTCTATGAACTAGTACTATCCTAGTCATGCAAGTTGAATTGTTCTTCAGTTGGTGGGTTTCTGATTGTGCGTAATTGATATCTGTTTCTGTTCTGTGGCATATTCCTGGCGTTTAGTAGCTTTCCAGCTAATTGTGATTTGTTTCTAGTTGCTACCACGTCTTGTATAAAACTAAGGTGTTTCACTGTTTATATCTTTAACTCATTGAAGATACTGCATAGCTGATATGTCACACTACAAGACTGGTAAGGTAGGCAATACAGCCTCAATACTTTCTACCTTTCAGGTTTTATTTATTTATTTTTATTTACTGATTCTTGAAGTACAACTCAAAATAGATAGGAGAGTCTGCAGACTCAATCCCATAACAAGATGCTCCTTTTGGACGGTAGAAAATGATCTATAAAATTTCCATTGTAAGCCAGTTGAGGTTTTACTTCACACCCAATAGCCAACCTTAAAGGATCATTAAATATGCTTCCATAGTTTAGCTTTGTTTTATATGGCAAAACATTCATGTAAAGTTGTTCATTTTGGAAGATGAAAGAAGTTTTATAAATGTCATCTTCCTGCAGATACACATATTTTGAGACTGACAAATACATTGTGACATTCATTTGTTTCTATTACATTTTATTTGAGCATGGCATTAGCATACATGTGATTGAGAATATGTTTGGTTATATTTTATGCTTAATTCTTGTTGGTGAAAATGTTTTCTAAGTTATACCTTGTTTTCTTCTTAGATTGGTCTGAGATGGAGGACTGAAAAAGAAGTAATATCTGGGAAAGGTATAATCTTCTGTCAAATGGTTCTATAAGTAATATGTTGCTTGTTACAAACTTATGCATATCCATGTCGTATTAATGATTCTCTTTATTGCTCTTCTAGACATTCTTTTCTTTTATTTTCATTCCGGAATACTTGCTATCTATATTCACTGATTGAGCTAGAATGCTTACCTTGATTGGCTATTCTGTAAAAAAAAAAAGTCGTACTTGCACTTGATTGATTTGTAGAACTTTGAATTTAGGTTTGAGAAATTAGGAGTGTAAATTTGGCTTATTTCTCATTTGTCGATTGAGTGGAAGTACAAAGTTAAAATTATGATAAAACTTTTTCCGATTACAATCTGAGCAGCAGTGAAATTGCTTCTATCTGTAGCAATCGAATAATGCCTTCTATTTCTTGCTCCCCCATCTCCCTTCCTTGCAATGGGAACTATTCAATTCTGAAGAGGGGGCTATTTCAATACATTTCTATTATACAGGTAGGTTGACGCTGCTACTAGTTACCTAATAAAAATATTTTATTGTAGAACATATTTATTGAATGCCTGAAATTATATCCCATCCTTCAAATTTTCCAGACCCACTTGGTTTAGTTTACCTAATGTAAAATGTTTATACGTTCATATGCATCTTCTCTTTCAACTTTTTAGACAACCTGTGAATTCATATTAATTTACTTCTTGAGCCATCATAATATTTCCTTCGAAAATTCCTCAGCATTGGATTTCTATTATAATTTGGATAATTGCAATACGTTTGGGCTTTGATGACTTGAAATTTTGTTAAACTTCACACATACAGAAACGTACATGATAGCTGACAAATAATCACGTTAGCTATAAATAGACAGTGTTGTTTGAAAAATCTGTTTCTGGTTTTCTGTCTGATTCACATTTAATAATGGCTGGTGAGATGCCAGAACACAAATGTTTCTGCCTGTTAATTTTTCTAGAAGACAAACTTAACCTTTAGTGGCCAAGCCTCTGATGCTGCTTCCAGGACAATGGAATGCTCAAGCTCAAGCTTTTTCTCTCTCTCTCAAATTCATGGCCATAGAATTTTGTTGCATCTTCCAAACATGACCAGTTACACCTTGCCTCTTTTAAAAATTATCTCTAACCTCATAGATAAAGGGAAACAAGCTATAAACAGTACGATATGTGTGGGTGAGGAAATAAAGAATGAACGCATAGTTGAGGCCATGAGATGCTCATGGTATTAAGGAACTGAGGAAAAATTCTCTCGTGTATATAATCGTTAGGAATAGATAACTTCTTTGGCAGTCAGGGGCGGAGCCAGGAAATTGTTCCAGTGCGGGCGGTATACGTAAAAGTAAAAAAAAAATAAAAAATAATAATAACAAAACAAAACAAGCAACAGCCAAACAGGTCCAACTCCCCAAAACAGGAAACCAATTGAATTCAAAATTTTTGCCAAAGCCCAAACAAAACAGACTCTAGTTATTCCTATTGGTTTCCAACTCCCAGCAGCCACTACGTCCCAACTCCCAGCCACTGCGCCAACAGCAAAGCAACAAAGGCAACAACAATAACTATTAACTTGGTTCCTATTTTTCCCAAAGAACAGGCATGACCGCATGAGGCAACAGACTCAACACTCAACAGGCAACAACAAATCAGACATCGGCAATAACTTATTCCCAATTCCTACCCCAACACGGCAATACCCATTAAATATATGAATACCAATCCAATAGAAATAGCCAAATAGCAGATGAATCACTAATAGCAGATGAATCATGAATACCAATCCAAGAGAAATTATAGAAAACTCACCTGCGGTGCGTACGGTGGATGCAGCAGCACAGCAGTCAGCGACTCAGCTCTCAGCAGGAGCTTCTTGTTTCTCGACACTCGACTGTTGATGTAGAATCGCCGATTGCAGCCTGCAGAGTCATCCTGATTTCTGGGTCTCTTCATTGCAGGGCTTTTATCATTCATTTCGGGCCAATGAATTGGCCCCTTTTTTTTTAGTATTAGGTTCAAAAAAATGGGGCGGCCCAAAACCCAGATGCCTGCACTGGGCCTAAGCTGGGTCCGCCCCTGCTGGCAGTGGACTATAATTGTGAAAGAAGGTGGCGTTTGTTGATCATATTTTTAATTATTGTTTTGATTCTGATTTGCAAGTGTTTAGATTCTTGCTTTCATCCAAATTGCTCCACGTTAATATATGAAGAGAACAACTTGTGATGCAGTTAGAAGAGAACGATTTTTACAAAGTTGACAGTTGTAGGGTGTTGCTAGTTATGATTTGCTGGAGGGAGAAGAGAGCAAACACAGAAAAACAAGAAGGGTCACTGGGTGGGGGGCAGGGGGAGGAGAGAGTTTATCCTAATTATTGATATCAAAATGTGCTAAGGAAATTAGTGGTGGATTTGTCAATTCCATAAAAATTGCTCTGGCAATATTGCTAGCCTTTAATAATAACCATGAAGTATCAGCATCCTACTGTTTTATGCAGCTTTGTTTGAAGACAGCTGGTTTGGAAATGTATGTAATGTATATCTTTTTTTTTCACATCTCTTTCCCTCCCCTAATAGATTTGCCCCCATCCCCGCAGGCACATGCATCTGTTTCAATATGGATTAGCTTCATATGTGATTGCTAGCTTTTGCATGCTATTTCAGCACTGTGAAACAATGCCGTTATGTCTTTTGCATTTAGTTTTCCTGTTTCACTCTTAGAAAATTTTAATTAGTTGATTAGTTACTGTAGGAATTAGTACTAACTGAGTGCCTTTGATTGTCAGGACAGTTTGTATGTGGTAATAAACATTGCAATGAGAAAGATGGTTTGTCAAGCTACGAGGCAAGTTCTTTATCTTTGAATCAAGTTTGTCCATTATATTCAGTGTTTACATGAGGTGAATACCGTCCATAAATTTAGTTTTATGAATCGATGAAAAGGGCAGAAGTTGCAATGTGAAATTATAGAATCTTAATATGAATGCTGCTAACTGATTCCTCACTAGGAAACTTTGAGAAAATGTTGAAATCTAGTGGAGTCCAAATTTCAATAAATTGATGTTTAGCCATCTATATTACATCTTATTACATGGAGATGTGGGTTTGACTTTCTGTTTTCATACTCACTGTCGATATCTTAACAGATTTTTTTTTCTTTGTTCGTGTTCACCATCTGCAGATAATGCATCTCAAATTGTAATTTTTTGTAATCTTGCACAATAATTATTCTCTCTTATGCATTTTAGGTTGAATCTCGTTAAATGATCTTTCTAAATTAACACTAGAGAGAAGCTAAAATCCTCAGCTGTTATTTTTATTTATAAAAAGAGCATATTGGTCCCTTCTTCTCCCCCTCCCTCTCTCTCTCCCGCCTCCCCTTCTAGATGTGCAATTATAGGAGCTTGCCCTTCCCTGACTGGTGATAAGGTTGGATATCTAAGCTTTTAATGCCGGACCATATATGCAGTCTGAATGCTTCTGAAGTTTGAACCTTACATTAGCATAGGTTGCTTGCTTTCAAAATAAGGTGTAGTGCTATTAAATAAAGCCCAGTTTGAACCACATTAAAATTTTCATTTTCATTCTTCTACTCATTTTTAACCACACATTCTTCAATCAACTAATATTTTTCATCACATCAATAACTTTTCCTTCCTTTTCAACCACACATTCTCCATCAATCTACTATTTCAAAATACTTTCTTTCAAAATAATGTTGCTCAAACACACCCTAAATCAAGAAAGAGCCATTTCCTTAAATTTTTCTGTACTGATTTCCTGCATAAATGAGAGCTGCTATCCTGAATTCAAGTTTCCTAATTCTTGCAATATTTACGTGCTCCAGTTCTATATTTGGAGGTACTTCATGTGTTGAAGATGAAAGAATACTATTGATAGTAATTTATGCTAAACATTTGAGCCATTCTTTGTCATTATTGGATTTTGCAATAAATGCCATTTTTCACCTTTTGAACTGTATGTGTAGGTAAACTTTTCTTATTATGAAGCTGGAGAAAACAAACAGGCCCTCGTGAAATTAGTAACCTGTGAGAGGTGACTCGTAAAACTTCTCTTGCGTCCTTTTGATTATCATGTCTATAAATTTGCCTTGTTCTGTTTAAGTTGTACCATACAATATTAATGCAGCAATTATATATCGTAAAATCATGGACGCTAATCATGGTATTGAGCACTAGGATAATTTAGTAGTGTAGCAATTTTGGTATGCTATTATTTGATCTGTGACCTTCGTGGTCAGTACACATTTCTCTGATTTACAATAAGAAAGAATTAGACAGGCCTTGCGTTACTTGCAGTTGTCGCACCTGGACATTCAGCTAGTAGAAAAATATGCATTATCATATGCCATTGTTCCTGCTATTGATTCTTGAGTATATGTGATGAACTATTTTTATGCAAAAGGACGACATTTAATTTTCTCTTAAATTCATGCTGAGAACTTCCTTTTTTAAATTGAATTTGTAATCAAACAGAGATGGTGGACGAACAGATAGAACTGGACATCTAAATTTTCTCCTCTTGATTTTAGCTGAAGATATTTTAAAAAAAAAAAAAAAACTGAATGCATGTTTGTTGATCCTTTGACATAGATGTGCGGAGAAGCTTTTTTATAAAAAACGAAAAGAGAAAAAACAATTGAGACAAAAAGAGACGGACAGTGATCGGAGGAAAAGGTAGGTATAGTTTCAGTTGAGAATTGTTTATGACAGAGGCAGGGCAATGACCCAAATTTGTTACTTTGTTGAGTTGATTCATCTCCCTTTTCAGGGATAGGTCTGAAAGTGAGGATGATACAGATAACGAATATGACAGAAAGAAAGAGCGTAGAAAAGGTAAGTTACTGCTATGTTTGCTTCTGCTGATAAGTTTTACCGACTCTGCATAAGCTAAATTTTCTATCATTTCCAAGCTCTTCTAGGCATTTTATGGGAGGTAATTTTGAATTATTTTCTGTAGAGTTTGGGAGTGTAAAATCTATTTCATTCATCTTACGTGACAAAGTATATACACAAAGAAATGATATTTACATCTTAGTCCCTAATAATTACCAAATGCTACAAGTTGGTAACTAAGAATAATAACATATGTATTTCAACTCTCCCCCTCAAGTTGGTGCATAGATATCACACATGCCCAACTTGGATATCACTGTATGGAATGAACCACCAGCAACTCCATGTGTCATTATATCAGCCAGCTGTTCCGTCCTCTTGATGTATGGAACCTCTATATTTTTGGAGTCGAGATTATCTTTGATGTAGTTTCTATCAAGTTCAACATGCTTTGTTCTATCATGCTGCACGGGGTTGTTTGCTATTTTAATAGCAGCAGTGTTGTCACAGAAAAGTAACATAGGTTTGTTTGGACCAAAGCCAAGTTCACTGAGGAGAAGTTTCAGCCAAGTGAGCTCAGTAGTTGCATGATGCAATGCACGATATTCTGCCTCAGCACTGGATAGTGAGACCACATTCTGTTTCTTACTTCTCCAAGTCACAAGATTGCCTCCAACAAACGATATATATCCTGATGTGGATTTTCTGTCTAATCTCGATCCAGCAAAATCAGAATCTGTATAGCCCATAATATCTAAATGCCCCCTTTTTGAGTACAGAATGCCCTTACCTGGAGAGGACTTCAGATATGCCAATATCCGATTAACTGCACTCATATGCTGCTCACTGGGATTATGCATGAATTGACTCACGACGCTAACTGCATATGATAAATCAGGTCTCGTGTGGGTTAGATAAATCAACTTCCCCACCAATCTCTGGTATCTCTCTTTATTTGTAGGAATCTGATCAGGATAAATAGATAGACCATGATTTACCTCAATGGGTGTGTCAACAGGAACACAAGCCGACATACCAGTTTCTGCTAGAAGGTCAAGGATGTACTTGCGTTGAGATAAGATAAGTCCTTGTTGGGACCGTGATACCTCAATGCCCAAGAAATACTTCAAAGTACCCAAGTCCTTCATTTCGAACTCCTTTGTCAAATGGCTTCGGAGTTTCTCAATCTCACTGGGATTACTGCCAGTAACAATCATATCATCCACATACACGATAAGCATAGTAATACCATGACTATCTCTCTTATAAAATAAAGTGTAATCAGCCAAGGCCTGTTTAAAACCATACTTTTTCATTGAACAGCTCAGTCTTCCAAACCACGCTCTTGGAGATTGTTTTAGCCCGTAGAGGGCTTTCTTCAGCTTACACACATTACTCCCTGGAGGAGTGAAACCAGGAGGAGGATCCATATACACTTCCTCTGTCAAATCACCGTGAAGGAATGCATTTTTAACATCAAATTGTCTCAATGGCCAATCAAGATTAACTGCTAGAGATAGAATGACTCTAACGGTATTCATCTTAGCTACTGGAGCAAAGGTTTCCTGATAGTCAATCCCATAAGTCTGTGTGTACCCTTTGGCAACCAATCTAGCTTTATACCTATCCACAGTTCCATCTGACCTGTGTTTTAATGAGTACACCCACTTGCATCCCACAGTCCTTTTTCCCGGTGGTAATGAGACCACCTCCCAAGTAGAGTTCTTTTGGAGAGCATTCATTTCTTCTACCATAGCAGATTTCCACTTAGGTTGATCAAGAGCTTCCTGAAAATGATTAGGGATAGACACAGAAGATAGTTGGAGGGCAAACCTCAAATTAGTCTTAGATAAACGGTGGTACGAGATATAATCGGAGATAGGAAAGATAGCATTGGAAGAAGATTTTGAAAAACCAAACCTATCAGGCTTATTATGGACTCGAAGAGGATATCTCCTATCCTGAGTATTAGCAATATCTAAAGTTGCAGGATCAGAATCAAAAACAGAGATAGGAGTAGTAGGAGTAAGCAAAGTAGGTACCTCATTTTCAATCTCCGAAGAATCAGATAGCACTGTAGTATCAATTGGAGGGCTATCAGGGTCTGAAGAGGGTAATGTAGGAGGGCAAGCATTGTCTGAGTTTCTCCTTGTATAACACTTTTGGAACAGGCGAGGTGATCTATCATCCTCAACTGGATGTTCAGCTTGGGATTCAACTTGGGGTTCTCCCTCATTTCCAACTTGGGATTCAACTTGGGGTTCTCCCTCATTTCCAGAAATCCACACTTTCTTTTCATCTAACCACACTCGTTCCTCTTCCTTACTACTAATCTCCCCCTGAAGAGGAACTAACGACACGTCATCAGAAAAAAAGGATTCTGATTCACAAAATTCCACATCCATAGAAACATAGTATTTCCCCGTAGGGGGATGAAAGCATTTATAGCCCTTCTGAGAGCTTGAGTAGCCAAGAAAGACACATTTCAGGGCACGAGGATCAAATTTATCTCGGAGATGAGAGTGCACATGGACATAACACACACAACCAAAAATTTTTGGACAGATATTCAGAACAGAGGGAATAGAGTGAAACTGAGACAACACGTTTAAGGGTGTTTGAAGGTCAATAATGCGAGAAGGCATGCGATTTATGAGAAAGACAGCAGTTGTTACCGCATCAGCCCAAAAACGTTTTGGAACACGCATAGTAAAACATAACACCCGAGCTACTTCAAGGATGTGTCGATTTTTCCGCTCTGCGATGCCGTTTTGCTGGGGTGTGTAAGCACAAGTGGTTTGATGGACAATGCCCTGAGTCGAGAAAAAGTTCCTAAGGGTTTGGTTTACAAACTCACGACCATTGTCAGAATGAATAACTTTAACCCGTACATGAAATTGTGTTTCAATCATTTTTGAGAATTTTGGAATAACATGCAGTACTTCACCCTTGGATTTTAAAAAATATACCCAACATACTCTAGTACAATCATCAATGAAAGAGACAAAATATTTATGGCCTGCAGCGGATGGAGTAGAGAAAGGCCCCCAAACATCAGTATGAACACAAGTAAAAGGAACACAACTTTTATTAAGGCTGACTTTGAAAGGTACACGATGATTTTTAGCAAAAATACATTGTTCACACCGCATACTAGAGCTAGAAACATTTTCAAACAGCTTCGGGAACAAGTGTTCTAAGTAAGTAAATGAAGGATGGCCTAATCGACAATGCCACAAAATGATCCTATCTCTTGGAGAGGATTTACTAACAACTTGAAGACCATGGCTATCCTTAGTTGGCACACGCCTTGTTCCCTCCAAAAAATACAGCCCTCCTCTTTCTCTACCAGTGCCAATCGTCATCTTCGTTCGATTGTCCTGAAATACGCAAGTAGTAGGTGAGAAGATGACAGAGCAATCAAGATGCTTTGTAATTTTACTAATAGATAAGAGGTTAGTGGAAAATGTAGGTGCAAGTAAGACAGATGAGAGAGAGAAAGTAGGTGAAAACGAGACACTTCCTGCCCCAGTAATTTTGACAGGAGTCCCGTTAGCCACTTGAACAGACTGAACAGTCGAAGTTGTCAAGGAATCAAATGTAGTGGGATTACAGGTAAAATGATCGGTAGCTCCAGAATCTATAACCCAAAAATCAGATGTAGTAGAAGTAGATTGCAACCCAAAAGTACCTTCCCCAAGAGGTGAACGAGCGACATGGGAAACAGTAGATGTAGATGTAGGTGTAGGTGCATGAGTGGACGCAGCGGATGAATGCGGTGCTTGAGAATATCTTCCACCCTTCCTCTCTGCCCTCTTTGCTAAATACCAATCCGGATAGCCATTTTTCTTGAAACACTTGTCAGCAGTATGTCCTTTAACGTGACAGAATGAGCAAGTGTCATTAGACTGAATAGGAGCTCGAGATCGAGGATTGAACCCTTTTGCCACTAATGCAGACGTCTCAGAATGGCCTTCGGTCCCCATGGTGAGTTGTCTCTGTTCCTCACGGCGAACAATCGAGAACACCTCTTCCAAGCTTGGAAGGGGTGTAGTAGCTAAAATACGACTACGCACTTGATCCAAACCATGATCTAGCCCCGCCAGAAACATATAAATCCTGTCTTCAGCACACCTTTCTTTTAACGCATTAACATCGACTGCACACTTCATAGGGTTGGGTCTGCGATAGTCAAGTTCCAAGAAAATAGAGTTCATTTCAGTGCAGTTAGTTCACCAAAAACATGGGCTCTTTTCTTTTGGCCAGTAATGTACATCTCCAGTAATTTTGACCACACACGATAGTTAGTGCCATCTAACTTAACGTGAATTAGAGGTGATGTCTCATGAATTAGCGATGTAGCAACTTTGTTATTAGCCATAATTTTGAGAATAGATTGCTGAAAAAAAAAGATTGGAGACCACGGAAACCACCAAATGCAGACAATTCAAAAACAATCTTCAACAACCCAGAAAAAAAACTTCACAGTAGACCTAATTCCACCACACACCAAGTAGAGCAAGATAGAACTGGCACAGCAAGGGTGCCAAAAGCAGCGACAGAAAAAAAAAACTGAACCTGAAGGTAGACAGAAGATCTGACCCGTTCAAAATCAGCATTTGGAACCGGCCATCATCAGTGGAGAAGCCCAATGCTCCGAATGCTAGAAGGCTAGGCTGCAGGGGACGCGGGCGTGCGTGAGGAAAGCTGCGCCGAAGACGCAGCACAGGTAGAACTCGCGATGCAGCAGTGTAAGAGGCGGTCGTCGGCGTCTGGGTAAGGACCGGGCGACGCAGAGAGAAGAAACGGGTGATGCAGAGAGAACGAAGCTCCAGAGAAGGGCGACGTAGAGAGAACGACGTCGCCTAGGGTTCGGCGACGCAGAGAGAAGACGTCAAGCTGTTCGCCAGCGCAGGAGAGGTCGTAGCTCGGAGCAGGGACCACGATCGGTGCCGGGTTCAGGTTTTACACTGTAGCTCTGATACCATGTAGAGTTTGGGAGTGTAAAATCTATTTCATTCATCTTACGTGACAAAGTATATACACAAAGAAATGATATTTACATCTTAGTCCCTAATAATTACCAAATGCTACAAGTTGGTAACTAAGAATAATAACATATGTATTTCAACTTTTTCTTCTAAATAAACTAATAAATGATAAATTGCAAAATAAATATATTATCAAAAGCATCAAGAGATGGAAATGAATGTTGGGTAAATGGGAACCGTCGTCCTGCAATGACAGTTAAGAATATTCTGCTAGTATGATTGATATAACAATTTGAGATAATCTAGGAAAACGTATTCGGTAGACCTAGAGGAGGTATTGCTTTTGATGTAAACAACATTCAGATAAAATGTGACAGTAATGCTTAATGATACTAGCCTGATAAATATGGACTATCAGTGTAGTTGAATTAATATTGAGGTTGGGGAAATGTATTAAAATTTGTGGTAGAACTAAGAAATTTACAACACATTTTTCAGCGCGTCTTAAGCAAGTAGGTGGCAGCGTTATGTAGTAAGTTGCAGCTAAGATCCATTCTGTCGTTTCCATGGATAGAACTTAATTTCTCTTTATAGGTTGGAAGAGACAATGGGCCTTAGTAAGGCGCCTTGCATATTGAATTTGACTATCTTATGTTATTAATAAGCATATGTTTGGCAAGTGTTTATAAACAGTTGTGTCTATAAATATACAAATGAGTGGTGAATAAGTGAGCAGTAGTTGTGGTCCACAAAATAAGTGGATAAAAAGTGATTTGACTTTTTGCAAGTGTTCATAAACATGTATCAAATATATGCTAAGTAGTAACACAGTAACACACTTGAAATTTAGGCGGGATTGAATTAATTTATTCATAGACAATCAATCTATATATAATGGTACAATCCTATCAACAAAAGGAAGGAATAGATATTTGTAACTATAGGAGGAAATGGGAAAGGATGGGAAAAGGAAACATTAATCACTATATTTGTTTATTATTAAACTACGAAAGGAAAAATGATGGTATCTAAGTTAAAATAAGAAAATAATCTCCTATTCCAACTTTCCCCTCAAGTTGATGTATTGATACATGCTTTACTTGGATAGTGATGTATTGAATGGACCACACTTGAAACTGTTGTCAAATTCTGATCTCAATTTTAATTAGTAAAGTCTTCCCCCTTTCTATCAACCAATTGTCATCTCGATTAGAATGTCTTTCACGAAGGGTTACTTGAGATACATGAGAAGTAGAATATTGGTATGCAAGAAGCCCGCACCTAGACAGCATGCACAAAAGGCACACACTAGAGAGATCTTCAGCAAAGATCACATGCATCTAGAAACACTGCATACAAAGAACATCTTACACCGTCAACAAAATCCTTCACACTGGATACCAAATTCACAACTAGTAGAAAGAGTCGTGCACCCAACAGAAATGAGAATCACCTGACTAGGTCTACGAGTAGAAAGTTGGTACTTGCCCTGAACCTTAACCGGTGTTATTAAAGTTTGTTATATAGAAATTTTTTGTCAGTGAAGCCAAGAATGAGAACCCACGATCTTCTAAAACTGTAAGGAGTACCAAATGGTTTGATAGACTAAGATGAAGAATTGCACAACTCTAAAAAAGGTTGTTGGAGAGTATCTTACAGTGAGGTTAGGTTATTGTCTAGAGAGAGTAGACAAAGATACAAGGTACTACTAATTTTGGCAATCTTAAAAATGAAGGCTGAGAGAATCACAGAATTTTTTTGACTCTAAGATTAGCAATAACAATAAAATGGTCGTACAAGGCCCTAAAGTGTACTAGATGGCTGGTCGACCAAGATGAAAGGTCACGCAACTCTGAGAAGGCAGTTGGAGGGTCTCGACTTAATAAAACTTGCATATGAGAACCACCAAATAAATTAGAGGTAGTAGAAAAACTAACAATATAGTAGAAGGTCCAACAATGTTGGTAACCAGAAATCTCCTGCGCAACAAATTAAGGTATGAAACTCCAAGAACACACCTAAAACAACCTAATCAAAACACCTCAAAAGAAATCCTGACCAAAAAACCAGCATTCCAAGAAAAAACAATCACGCAAAATTGGGATAATTGGGGAGAGGTTTATAGTGTCAAAATGCAAGAATTTTAAAGTTCAAGGACCATTTTGCCCAAACTTAAGCTTCTTGTTATCTTATGTTTGAAGACGCTAAATGCTTTGAGCAAAGTCTGTTTAGTTAAAGAGGAGCCACTCCACTGGCTACTTTCTTATGTTCTGATGCTTATATTTCGAAGAAAGTCCTGTTCGAGATCCCTATTTTTATAATTTCAGAAATGAATATATCCGTCAGAAGGCATGCTTTTATAAGTCTCCCAATGTGAACTCTAGGGAAGATTATAGTCTCGATATTTTAACTAGTCATTGCTTTATGTTTGATGAGGGTCATTTCTCCTTTTTTCATATCTGTTCTGGAATTGATATCTTAATATTATATTTGCAGGAAAGAAGGCTTCGACTTCTCTTAGTGATCATAAGGTTGATGACGATGAAAACTTTGATGAGTATCTTGAGGGAATGTTTCCTTGATGAAGATATCTTGCATATCTGAAGAAAATAGTATGAAGCTGAACATCTGATTCAGAGTGTGTTTGTGACACATTCTTTTGAAAGAATGTATTATTGAATAGTAGATTGATGAAGATAAAAATGAAGGAAAAGTTATTGATATGATGGAAAATATTATTTTATTGAAGAATGTCTGGTTGAAAATGAGTAGAAAAATGAGAATGAAAAAAAAAATAATGTGTACCAAACAGTGCCTCAGAAAAGATCTCTTCGTATTTGCAAAATAGAAAGAAATCTATTTATTCTTATACCGATAGGATTTTGCGACACTTTAAATGATCACCACATAATGTAACGATAGGATCACTTTCACATTTTTTAATGATAAAATTGTATTCCAATTACATTGGACAATTTGATATTGATCTTACTGTGGCATTGGGTGATGATCATGAGCTCCTACTGTCACATTGGGGAATGATCATTAGCCATCTGATTAATATCTTTACTCGAAAAGAAAAATCTTTGAAATAGTATTAGACTAATCTGGCTACTCTTTACGCCACGATCTAAGTTCAAAAGTCAACCATGTATCATCTAATCATACACATACAAAAAAGATTTCTGCATGTATATGGTAGCCTTATTCTTAACCATACTGCAATTTCTGATACTCTTTTTCTAACAATAAAACATTACTCTTTTTACATTTTCTTTGAGGGCCGGCAAAGGCCGGACCCCCGACTCTCCAGCTGCTCGGTTAATCTTCCCACCTTTAACGGTATCACAGCCATTGTCCTGAGCATCGGGTTCCATGTAGAATCTGGCTCGAAATGCGGCTAAATGTGCATAATATGCCGGAGGAACTGCAAAAAAACCATAGATCATGGGTCAGTTCGATCAAAACTGATATGACTGAGCTCGTGTTCAACACTTATCTGAATTGCTAAACTA